GTCGATAAAAAGAAGCGCGGCAGGAAATAGCGGGAAACGTTTCCGTTCCGCTTATTGTGCGCCTCCCCCCTCCCTCCCCCTCCTCCTCGATAAATCGCGTGTCGAATCGCGACGATATCAACGCGGCGAATCGCCTCGAAATATACGCCCCGTGTGTTTCGAAACGCGCCGCTCTATCCATTTTCCTTGGGATTCAATCCTTTTAAGCGGGGGTGGATAGAGTGAAACAAGTTGCTGCTAAGGGGGGAAGAAGGGGGAATCCGCATGCGCGCATGCGGTACGTGCGATTAGGTAGAAGTGGAAGTTTCCAAAGTGTCGTGGAACTTTGTTTGATTTGATGGGTGTTGTGCGTGGTTTTGCTCTCGAAGTTTATGCTTTTACCGATGCTTTTAGACAATTTATCTCTTTTTTATTCAATCCACGAGTGTGTAGGTAGACTCGAGTCTTTTTTTGGATCTAGAAATTTTGTTTGATTTTTGGTGATCTTGAATGAGTAGTGAATTAATTAATATTCTTCGAGTATTTGGTAATAAATGAAGATACGAAGATTTTCCATTCATTAAGACATTGAATCATGTAAAAAATGCAATATTATTTGAAACTTCTTATAAAAATATGTATAAATGCTATTATCAAAAATTTACTGAACTATTAAAAATTATTAATTTAAACTGTCTAGGGATCCCTAGATTAAGCTAGGATATTTTTAATAGATCTTCTTATATATAAAAGGAATGAAATATGCATTTTCAATTTTTTTTTATACATAGAAAAACGAATGTAGTGGAAAAATTGATATTTCATCATAATTTATTTATTAATCATAATGATAAGATCACTAACGACGTTGCTGATTTCATAATGACGCTTTACGACGTAAAACACGAATTCACTTTCTCATAAACTTTAAATTACAAGAACAAGTTTGGTCGTTTTCCTTAGTTAATAAGTTCAAGTTGTCGAGATGACTGCGGAAAAATCAAATTAACGCGATTATCCACAGTGTACGGAATATACAAGACGACCGTGGCCTTATAGAAGCGCGTCGACTAGTTAAAAAGTTAATAAATCCAAGATCCTGGCTTATTAACTCTGCCACTTCGTGGAGCGCGCCAAGAATCCGGGTAAACAGTTCTATCATGTCGTGTTTTCAGTTAAAAAGCTTGGCAATTTAGACTTGCAATTATTAAATCTTCCTGCCGTGAAAGATATTTTTAGGCAAGGAGTTAATCTACTTGAAATTGTATTTGTTTATTTTCCACTTGTTCAATTGGGAAACAACTTGATAGAAGATTGTAACAAATTTTAATTATATGTTACGATATAAGATAATATTCATTTAAATGATTTCATAAAAATCAATCATATTTTTCGATTATTATTCGTATTTTATATGTAATCAACATCTATCGCGCTTATAGGTTCGATTTGATTTAATTTATCAATTTCCAAAAGGTCTAGGATTTAGAGCGATTCATTTTATATCTTGAACACTGAGAAAACTCTTAAAGCCTCTAATTATCAACCGCGCGAAAACTTCTCGAGCGTCTAAAATCACGTTTGAAGTCTTTGGCCCGTCGGTGTTTCGTAGAGATACACCATCCACGTTGTTCGAAACTTCTTCTTCGGAAGGCTGTCAGTTGTCTTAAAGGATGCTAGCCCGACTCAACTTGAAACTTCATTAACAGTAACAAAAGACCCGTTCCTCTGCGGCATCGATCGATGATTTTAATAATACTGATATTTCTCAACTTTTAAATTTTGATCCACCATTGATTTTCGATTCATTTGCATAGGAACTTTAAAATAACATTAAATCAAGAATCTATATTATATTTGATTATAAAAAGATCTAATTTTCAGGATGAACAAATTGTATTTATTACAATTTAATAAATTCCAATGTACAATCCATTCCATGATCTCTCAAAAATCTCATATTTAAAAAAATAATCCTCCTCAAATTTTTAAATCCACTTGCCATTATTCAAACATTCTCCATGTCTTTAAAAAATAAAAAGAAATATTTGAACCATTTCCTTCAACTATTACACAATTACACAAACGAAATACATTTAATACAAACTCTTAATATCCAATTTATCAATCCTCTAAACCATACCATACCATATGAAAAGCAAAAGAACTTACAAACTTCTCGATTCTTAATCAAACCTCCAATTCTCCAATAGCGTCGCATAATTCTCGCCCATCGACACTCTTCTGACAATCGGCGTCGTTGGATCCTCCCATTTACATATTTCAGCAGTCGTGCCAACTCGCGAGCCGAGAAAATAGAATTGCAGAAGCAAAAAAGTAACTAGAAAAGTAACTAACGTTAAACGTAATCTCGGCCACAATAATTATCCGCGGTTATTCGATGAACGATAAATTATTATAAGTTTATTTTATCCTTATTAACTTCAATTCAAATTTTGCCACCATCTTTAATGATGGGAAGAACCGCAGTGACGTCGCTCGCGTTTCCAACGAGCATCACGACACTCGAGTCACCCCCACTGTGATAGCTACTTTTCCACTTATAACGACTATAGGAGAGAGGGAGGGGGGTACTTTTGATGTCCTCTCGTCTAACAATCGCTGCAAGTTTGTACACGTGTAATTAGTTTAACGAGTAAGCGGGCGCTGGCACTAATTGCTCGCGAGCGAATCGCGGCGATACAGCGCGCGAGAGGGGTAAAATTGTTACGTGTCACGCTAACTGGCCGGCATGTTGGAGGGAATCTCGTTCCATCCTCTCTCTCTTTCTCTCTCTCGTTTACTTTCTCCTCATTAATTCCGCGGGCGAACTCTTGGAAAAATATTTTTCGAACGTGGATAATGCCAATGGCCAGGGTTGGATATCTGGATCCCGGTATCGATGTCGGACAGAGTAAATTTATTCGGATAATTTTCGAGGGAGAAGCGGCTTTTTATTTTTTGATAATTGTTACTTCGAATTTGACGCGATATCATTTTTTTTTAAGGGAAGGAATGGAAAAAATGTTCTTATAAAAGTTATTTTTCTTGTGATCTTTGTGTGAGTGATCAATTTCGATTTTTGTAATCATGCAATCTATAATAAATAGATCATTATAGTGAAGAAAAAGAAAGATAAGAATCCGAATCCAATCCAACAATTAACTAATGATACGAAGTCGAAGGATCCTCCTTGAAATATATGAAAAAGTAACATAGATTCTTCATTGTTTTTTTTAAAAATTTAATAATTATAAATCAAGATCGTCTCGTTTACCTTTCAATCATTTTCCAAGTAACGATATCCTCCTCAAAAATCTTCCTCTCTCGAGGATCGAGATATTTCGCTTTGATTATTCCTCTGGTGTCAAGAAAACGCGAGTATCCTCTTCGAGGGTATAAATATTGCGTTGCCAGTCGAACGAGAACGAGCAAGGGTGTGCTCTTTTTTTTCCTCCCTTTTTGCCCCTTCCCCTTCCTCTTCCACTTCACCCTCCTTCTCTCCTCTCCTCCTCTTCTTTTTTTCTTTTTCTTACGCGATGCAAGCGTCGGTTCAGAAAGCAAAAGCGATCCCACTCGAGGGTTCTCGAGAGAAAAGATACGAGACTGAGATGCCAAAGAAAAAGAGAGAGAGAGAGAGAGACGAGAGAGGGAGGCCGCGTCCCGGTTAAAGAGGATTCGGTATCTTTGTTTGCCGGCGGATTAATCCGAGCTCAAGGCCACTTTTACACGGAGCCGTCTCTGATCCTGTCTCATCCGCATGGGGACTGCCTCCTTTGGACTTTTTTTTTTTTTTTATATCTGCCACCCCGTTTACTTTTGGCCCGCTTCTCCTAGGATTTT